ATAAGTCTTAAACAGAACTTTACTATCTTTACAAATGATTTGATTAATTAGCAAAATAAATATAATTCACCTGTGCTAGTTATTAAAGATCTATAGACTAGGTATTAATTAAATATAAACTTTAAACTAATTTTTGTTTTTTAAAAGTTATCAAATAGTGTAAGTATTTAACTATTGAAAGAAATTATGTTTACAATAACTTATTTACCACAATCTAACTTGATAATAAACATTGTATTTTATGCAAACTGTAAGGTATTACAATTATTGATTTTATAACTCGTTGTAAATTAAATAAAAATGCAAAACAACTAATTAGGTAAACAAAAATTTATAAATTTATTTAATGAACATTTAATTTATTGCATCAATCGCTCAAACAATGGTCGCATAACTTTGTGCCAAACTCTATACCCATCTAATGACAGGTGCAAGTGATCGCCATTAAACAGCTCCGGTATCTGATGTCCACTACTGTCCGTCAGATTTGGTGTCAAATCAATGAAGAATACAGTGTTATTGTCGGCCAACTTCTTCATCTCAACATTGATTTGTTTTGATCTCTCGCTTATCGATGGGTTTGTATACGGCGTGTGTCCTATGATTATGTGTTTCGCGGCCGCAAATTTGGCCCTCAATTCACTGACAATCTCTTGTTGTCCGCGCAGGACATCCGATGCAGATACGGACTCGTTATGATGCATAGTATTAAACCCTGTTATTAGAATCAAGTTAGTAATACATATTTAAACACATGTATATTACATACCGGGGCCTGAGCTCATTACAATTACTTTGGGTGTGAGTCCATCCAACTCTTGATTCTGGATTCGCCACAAAACATTAGATGTGGTGTCGCCTCCTATACCATAATTGGCCACACCTTTTGGCTCGTAATAGCTGTCCCACAGCTGTCGGCCGTCCGTCTCAAACCGGGCCACTCCTGAGGCGCCGATGAAAAAGCCGTGGATCTGTTTTTGGTGATCGCGAGTGTACTGAGACAACTGCTGGTGCCGTTGTAACCAACGTCCAGAGCCCGGCTGTGGTTCCCACGGGTGCACATCGGCTGAGCACAACTCTATACTAATCAATGCTAACACTATTAACGCTAACATTATTGTGTCTAATATACGGAAGAATATTTGTGCCTCTTTTATACCTGTATTGTAATTATGATCATGTGTTTTGTATCTCTGACTTAAATAGCAATCTCATTGTTGTTACAATTGGTTAATGAAATGCCTTAGTCAAAGCAAATGTAATTGACCTGTATACATTATCAGTGATTAATTATTTTCGTTAAGAAAGTATTATATGATAAACAAAATTATTTGTTTAATTAATTAACTCAATTGATAAACTAACTTTATATACAATTTATATAATTCACTTTATAAAACAACCTTCATAGTTATTTTAATCAATTTAGATTACAAATATAAATTATAAATACTGTAATTTTAATTATTAATAATATTAATGGTATTTTATTAGAATAAAATAACTTTAATTATGATTGAAAATACAAATATATTTAATCATTAAAACTTTACCAATTAATTAAAATAAATATATCATAAAATAATCATAATTATTGCATCAATTTCTCAAACAATGGTCGCATAACTTCGTGCCAAACCCTATACCCGGCTAATGTCAGGTGCAAGTGATCGCCTTTAAACAGTTCCGGCTTTTGATGGCCACTACTGTCCGTCAGATTTGGTGTCAAATCAATGAAGAATACATTCTTGTTGTCCGCCGTCTTCTTGAGCTCAACATTGATTTGTTTTGATCTCTCGCTTATAGACTGTATTATATACGGCGTGTGTCCTATGATTATCACTTTGGCGGCCGGAAATTTGGCCCTCAATTCCTTTACAATCTCTTCCAGACCTCTGAGGACATCGGGTCCCGACGGCGATGGGTTTCGGTTCATTGTATTGTATCCTAAATATTGCAAAATAATATTATCATAATTAAAATGTTTAAAATAATTTATAATACAAGGTTATAAAAAACAAATAATAATTGAATTACTGTATATATGTTTTTGCATTTATAAAATATAATAAATACATTATTATAAACAAAGCAAACAAATACTATACAGTATAACAATACATGTTATAAACAATACATATACACATAATAGTAGGCACAGGTATTATCACACATACCGGGACCGCAGGACACGACCACCACTTTGGGGTTAAGTCCGTCCAACTCTTTATTCTGGATCCGCCACAAGACGTTTGACGTGGAGTCGCCTCCTATACCATAATTAGCCGCCCCTTTCGGCACATAATAGCTGTTCCAGAGGTCGCGGCCGTCCGACTGATAGTAGTCGGTGATGGAGGCGCCGATGAAGATGGCGTGGATCTGTTTCTGGTGATCGTGTGTGTACTGAGACAACTGCTGGTGCCGTTGTAACCAACCCCCAGAGCCCGGCTGCGGTTCCCACGGGTGCACATCGGCTGAGCACAACTGTAAGCCAATAAATGTCAACACTATTAACGTAAACATTATTACTGTTTTCTCACTCGTCGTCTCTAAATTGATTTACCACAAGTATTTTTTGTCTTGTTTTATACCATATTGTGTTTGTTTTTATCATGTGTTTATTGTCTCACATTTGCACAATAAAATATTTTATCAGTAAAAAACCTTTTGACATTTAAAACATAAGCACTTTTTTTAGATAGTTGTTTGTTATAATTAAATTAAATATAAAAAACATTTACATCCTTATTAGAGATTAAGTTATTTATAAATTTTGTAATTTAGTATAAAAATTAAAATTTGACAAAACAACATTTAATTTCATGAAATTTGATTTGAATTTTAAATTAAACTTTTTTAAATAATGAATGTTAGATAATAAACATAAAGTTATTGCATTAACCGCTCAAACAATGGTCGCATAACTTCGTGCCAAACCCTATACCCCTCTAATGACAGGTGCAAGTGATCGCTCAGAAACAGCTCCGGTATCTGATGTCCACTACTGTCCGTCAAATATGGCGTCAAATCAATGAAGAATACATTCTTATCGTCCGCTTTCTTCTTCATCTCAACATTGATTTGTTTTGATTTCTCGTTTATTGATGGGTTTGTATACGGCGTGTGTCCTATGATTATCACTTTGGCGGCCGTGAATTTGGCCCTCAATTGTCTAATAATCTCTTTGAGGCCTTCGAGCACATCGGGTCCCGACGGGGATGGCTTTCGGTCCAAACTATTATACCCTGATTATAGTGAAATAAATTACTATATAATACCATACAAAATCAATATGATAAGTCTATCACATAAAACTATGCAGCAATTATGTATCTTTAAAGTTTTATACAGTATACAAGCATTGTTTTAACATAGATCATTTGCTAACTAATTAATTATTAAAACTAAAATTATAACGTATTAAATTATCAACACTAACATAAAATCTGTCCAAATACTATATATCACACATACCGGGCCCACACGACACGACCACCACTTTGGGTCGGAGTCCGTCCAACTCGTGATTTTGGATCCGCCACAACACCTTTGACGTGGAGTCGCCTTTAATGCCATAATTAGCGGCCCCTTTGACCGCGTAATACCTGTCCCATAGCTCTTTGTCTTCCGTTTGATAGTATTGTACGATTGAGGCGCCGATGAAGACGGCGTGGATCTGTTTTTGGTGATCATTGGTATACTGTAACAACTGGTGGTGCCGTTGCAGCCACCAGTCATGATAACCCCGCCGCGGTTCCCACGGGTGTTTATGTGCAATGCCCGACTGTATAATAAATACCCACATGGAATAATAATTATTAAATATTATCACAATACTATAAGCCATTAATATCAATATGTTCAACTAATTTAAACTTGTGCTCTTTATTTATATTGTGCATAATTAAGTTAATTAATTTATTTAATTAAGTTAAATAGCTGTATTGTATTGAATTTATTGTTATTTATAAACGTTATGCACTTAACTACTGTTAATATTCAGTGCGAACGTCTAAAAAATGATACATTTATTTAATATAAAAAACAATTAAAATACAAAAAACATTTTTTATATTTTATAAACACGTTTTAAGATATAAAATTGTCACAATCAATGTTATTTTTAAGTTTATATGATAACTTAAAGTTGCATTTTAAAAATTATTTAGACATTTACAATGCATATGTATAATGCTTCAATTAATTATGATAACAATTTTTATACTCACCATTTAATTCAATTACAACATTAGAGTAGTTTCTAAGTTTGTGATCAAGTCCAGTTGACTACTCGGTGCCTTAATTATGGTCAAATTTGTTGTACTATGTAATCAATATAATTTATAAGTAATAGTAATTATTACATGCACACAGTATTAAATTGTAATATTTGACCCTCATTACTTGTGCCATTTTTCACATACACGTTTTCACATTATAAAAGCAGTTATTTAACGCACAGTAATGGCATAGGTAATGAAGCATTACATTACAATTTAATATGCATGTAATAAGTGTTAAACTATGCATTTACTCGATAAAATGTGATATTCTCATAGGGACCTAAAACTTATACTAAAATTAAAACAATGGGAACTTTATATTTTAGTTTTTATATGTCTGGTACCAGATCTAGCAATATGGTTCTAGCCGCAATTAATGTATCAAGGACATTTGACCTATTGTCTATCAAAAAGTGTTTAAAATATGGCATTTGGCATAAAATAATTATTTCGAATAAATAAAATATGTTACATCAATTTGTAAAAATATGGCAATAGATACAATACAATACTTACAAAATTAAAACAAACAAAAATACTCTTGATTATATTATCAATATATAAGTATTTTATTTTAAATTTAAATATTACATTTAATTAAAAATCTATCTTAATAAAAATCACCTTAATTAAATTATCACCACAATAAATTATTGCTTTCTAGCAATTTTCTAGTAATATTAATGCTAAATTACTATTATTATTAGTACTTTATAATCATAACATTAGTCTTTCAAACAACGGACCCATAACTCGATGCCACACCCGATACCCGTCTAACGTAAAGTGTAGGCCATCTTTGAAAAGGCCGGGCAATTGCTGACCACTACTGTCCACAAGACTGGGCGTCAGGTCCAAGAAATACACTGTCTTTTCATCGGCAAACTTCTTCAGCTCCCGATTGATCTCTTTGGACACTTCGCTGACATCGGGCCGGCGGTCGTCGTTGTGATACGGGGTGTGCCCGATCACTATAATCCCGGTGTCCGTGAATTTTGCTTTTAACTCGGTGATAATCTCTTTCAGGCCCCGCAACACTTCCGGACCCGAGGGCTGTGTCCGGGGATCTACTTTCGGGTCCGGATTATGGAGACTATTGTAACCTAAAACACATTATAATAATTATAATAATTAGAAACACAATACAAAACAGATTAAAAAAAACTAATATTTAACATAATATTTTGCGGTAAAATAATTATGGTAAATCACAACATACCGGCGCCGCAGGAAAACACAATAACCTTAGGCCTGAGTCCATCCATTTCCTTATTCTGGATCCGCCACAAGACATTGGACGTGGAGTCGCCGGGTATGCCGTAGTTGGCCGACCCTTTGGGCGCGTAATAGGAGTCCCACAGTTGCCGGCCGTCACCGCCCCAGAAGTTGGTGAGGGAGACGCCCAGGAATAGGGCTTTAATGTGGTCAGCCTGGTCTCGGCTGTTGGCTGTTAACTGGTTATGTATTTGCATCCAATTGGGCCACCAGTTGCCCGCCTCCGCCTCCCAGGGCTTTACGCATAACGTTAATTGAATGCACAATATATTGATTAATATAAATTTTATCATGGTTGCTTTTGATATCTTGCTAATATGGTCTGGTTTGTTTTTAATAGCAAATTAGTTTTAATAATAATATGTCATATGGAATTTTGGTGCTTTTATCATGCTCGTTTAGTGGGAAAATACCATTAAAACTTAACATTTTTAGATAATAAATGATTAATAATATTTGTTTATAAGGTATAATAAAGGATGTGAATTATAAGTGTATTTAATTAACTATGGGATTAAATATCTATCAATGCGTTGCGAAAACACTTTAACTTTAAGATAAAGTTATAAAAATTATTTTGTTTTTGTAAAAATATTATTTTTATAAAAGCAAGCTTAATTAATTATTATTATAACCTAATTAAGGTACTATTGATACATTAAAACATTAAAATTAAATAACATTTTATATGTATGGTATTACATATAATTATGATAAAAATTACCTTGTTAATACTAATTTACAACTATCTATTTTGTAAAATTTAATAAAATAATTTTAATATTTATTAATTAACATAAACTATTGCAATAAACGCTTCATCAATGGCCACATGACTTCGTGCCAGACCTGATACCCGGCGCGGGTCAGGTGCACGCCATCACTGGTGCGCAACGAGGCCTCAACCATACCATTGGAGTCCAAATAGTGAGCACGTGTTTTCAGAAAGTAGATATTGTTTTGGTTATCAAACTTCTCGGTCATCTCATCCAATTGCAGGCACTGATGGTCCAAACCGGGGTCTCTAATCGGAATCATCACACCCATGTGTATAATCTTACTGTCCGGACATCTGGCCCTCAACTCTTGTAGTATAGTCTCAATTCCTTTGGCCGTGTCTTCGGCCACAGTATTGGACTTATCGGCAAATATATTGTTGTATCCTTAATGGGATTTGTTTTGATATAAATATAAACATTATAAGTAAATTTAATTATAATTAAAGTAAAGTACTATTCTACTTAATAAATTATATAATTTTAATTTTATTGATTTACTAAAATTAAGTAATTACCACATTGAAAGACAATGAGTTTGGGCTGAAGTCCGGCCAACTCGTGATTCTGGATCCGCCACAAGATATTTGAAGTGTTGTCACCACAAATACCATAATTATAGGCGCCTTCCGGTTCGTAATACTTATCCCAAATGTGTTGACCTGCGTATAAAAAGTATTTGGTTAACGAACCGCCAATAAACACCACTCGGATGTTCTTCTGGTGATCGGCCGACTGTTTCATCAGCTCCTGGTGTTTGTCGAGCCATGTCTTTAGACTACCCAATCGTTGCTGTGGTTCCCACGGCTTTACAGTTGACGTTGTGTTCATTTTTAAGCCATTTCAATAAATATATAAAGTTTTTAGCTATACTCGTATACTTTTTTAGCTAGGTTTGCCTGTAATGGTAAATAATTAGCCTTAACTTAACATGATTATTTGTAATTCTACTATTGACGGGATGTAATTTTAACAATACACGCGTTTCCACAATATTTGTAATTTAAAACATAATTTATTCAAATAATTATTTAAATTTACATTATTTATATTTGTGACACGTAATCAATTATTAATTATGGTAAAAATTATTTATTTATTATTACTAATATGTATATTGTTTTGGGTGGATTTATCCGCCTTAACCGATCACACCAGACGTCTGGCTCGTGATAATGGGTATGCATTTATTTATTTAACTACTAAAATATTTTGCCAAGATCATTTATAATTTTTATTTAAATTAATACCTTGTGTGCCGCTTTAAATAAACTTATTGTATAATTTAATATCATTATCTACTATATTCATTAATCTAATATTAACCTACTTTGGTTATACAGTGACGGGAACATAACTAAGCTAACGTATCCTGTTCATTTTATTTTGTTATAAAGTTAGTACATAGTTGTTTCTAAAACCTTACACAACAGATAGAGTTAAATAATTATAACAATGTTAATATTAGACATAATCAATTTATGTAATAAAATACTATTTTTACTTGTGTGCATGGTGATTTTACAAATCGATATGAACATGATGGACCCACGGCGATACAGGACTCGAAATCCACCACGTGATTACGGCTTTTTGTTTAACACAGCATGATTATTAACGGACCAACATAATTATTTACTTCATTGAATATTATCAATATCATTTTATTTGTAATAAGATTTTTAAAAAATACTTTTAATAAAATTAATTTTTAATTTAAAATATTATGAATAATTTTTACAAACTTTTAATTTTTTCAAAACATTAGAGGAAATGACAAAAATATTTTTTTCTAAACACAGGATTTAGTGCAGGCAAGAAGCCAGAGTTATAATTCCCACAAAAAACGTTTAAATTATATACATATTGATTGTGTAAATAACCCCACGTCTATATGTTGGCCAAAAAATGCCATATAAAAATATTGTAATTTTAATTATTTTAAATCCAACTAGACAGAAATGTGCTATATTTATAATGTTATCCATAATTCGAAAATTCCATTGATTCCC